TGATCGGAATGATATACCGAACTTGCAGTCGGTAAAGACTTGTTATCCAAGTGCTTCTCCATGAAAGACTTAGGGGAAGCAGCCTCATCCTTGGTATAAAGATCTATCGGATATCGCGTAGGTTGCTTGGCCTAAGTCAGAGTGCTATATTGACAAGTACTGAAACGATTCAGTATGGCAGACTCCAAGAAAGGATTTCTTCCGATGTCACATGGTGTTTATCTCTCTAAGGAATTGTGTCCTAAAACACAAGTGAGAGAGATAGGATGAAGAGGATCCATATGCATCGCAATTGGATCCATCATGTATGCCATGCTGTGTACTGGATTGATGTCTCATGTGCTTTGAGCACTTGTAGTAGATATCATCGGATCCAGGTGAGCGTCACTGGATGGCTGTCAAGAATATCTTAAGTACTTGAAGAGGACTAAGGATATGTTCTTGGTTTATAGGAGGGAAGATAGCTCACTGTAAGATACAGTGATGCTGTTTCCAACGGACAAACGATTATCGATCGCAACAGGGTTTGTATTTTGTCTCAATGGCGTGCAGTGAGCTGAAGAGCTCCAAGCAAAGCACTGTATCGGCTCTACAATGGAGGCTGAGTATATTGCATTGTCAGATGCGGCCAGGAGCAGTCTGGATTAAGAAGTTCGTCATTGAACTTGGTGTGGTTTCTACGATTGTTGATCCTATAGACATCTATTGTGACAACATGGAGCAATTGCTCAGCTAGGGAACCACGGTCTCATCAAAGTCCAGACACATACTCAGACGATTCCATCTCATCATAGAGATGTTGAAGGAAAGACTGCAGATTAGTAAAGTGCATACTGACGACAATCTCGCAGATCCACTTACAAAGCCTCTGTGCTGCAGAAGCATGAAAGGCACTTGAAATCATTTGGTATTAAATACATGAATGATTGGCTATAGTGCAAGTGGGAGATTGTTAAGTAGATGCCCTAGAGCCAATCATATTGTGGAATTGACTCTTTGTAATAATGTTCATTAATCAATAATAAGGCATTTCTATATCGCGTAATCATTATTATTATTGCATATTATTGATATATGTCCTTAGAATGGTAGAACCGTGACGAGGTATCAAGTGTTTCAAATCTTGATATTGAGAACCCTATGAGCACATATGGTGGCCATTCTAGAAACGTCGTACCTAGTATTATTCTGAAATAAGGGCACAGATAATACGGTAAGGCTATCATAGTGTTGAACGCCCCTGTCGAAAGGCAGTGACTGACTCACTTGTCAAGGTGTTTGGTGACAACCTGGTGCAACACATGGGTGCTTGTTGTAGGCGGATATAACCGCAGCAGTTCACTGGACTGACCCACCAGAGGATTCCATATGTATGGTAACCCCAGTGTCTATGGAACAAATCCTCTAACGAATGGTGGTGCATGTGATCCTTAGACTGAGGTCACCGAGTGCCTGTGCACCGACTGGTACAGTTTGACACATCTACGCATTCTATTCAGAGCTGTCAGTACGTGTGGTGATTGCTATATCAAGAATGTATCAAGACTATGGTGGGATTGACAAGGATTCATCACTCCCGGGTACGGGAGAAGTTATCTCACGGCGCAATTCAGTATATGGCATGACACTAAAACTGTGGCCACAGGGGATTGATTTGTTGCTCTATCCAGATTATAATACGGGTCATTGGTCCGAAACTGAATATATATATCGAGAGTAACCGAAGGTTGACACTATTTCTATGCCTTCGTCTCGTCGAGATAACGTATGATGAAAGGATCGTATTGTACGTACACCATATCGTTGAAAGGTAGCTACTTTGCTGAATCCGAATCTATCGGTGGCCATGATGCCTGCTAGGGCCAATCTTGGTCTGTGTATTAGTGAGACGATTATTTGGTTTAATCGCGATACTATACACTACCGTATGATGAGGAGCCTATGGGTCACACACATAGAAGATAATTTAAGAGCCGAAGAAAAGGGCGTTTTTCGTCTTTTTAGGCCAAAGGGTATTTTTAATTTCACAGTGCAATTAATTTGCTGAGGTCGTAGCCTATATTTATTTGTTAAAAATTAAATAAGTGAAATTACGGTTAAATGTGTGTTCGCACATATTTAATTATCATCATTCATTTTTAATGTTAATTAAATATTAATTGATTTTAATTAAGATATGATGAATAATTAAATACAAATTGGGAGTGTTTTGGCAACATGGGTGTGTTGGGTTGGAGCCCAAGCCCATTCCATGTGGAATAGGGCACTTGGTTTGCCTATAAAAAATAGTGTGTGATTCATTCTTATTTTAAAAAGAAAACACAGCAGCCCCTTATACACTCTCTCACGCCAATCTCACTGTTTGATTGAAAAAATCAAATACTGATCTTCTTCTTGATTTCTTAAGGCCAAGGAGATCTAGCAAATCCCTCCTTGGTTCTTGTGGTTGTCTTCGTGTGGACTTCTTGGTTTCGATCCACACTTGGATCGGTAGCAAACACATTCAGAGACAACATTGGTGGAGCCTCCAAACGTGGGTATAAATCTAAACCTTTGGATTTATTTTTCTGCAGATTCATATTATGCATAAACTGTAATCTATGCCCTGATTTTGGTTCTAAGGAACGATCCGTAGTTGTAAATTTTTGTTTTCCGCTCGCCAACCGGTCGTTTCCTACATGGTATCGAGCCTTAGGTACTAGATTTACAGTTATTGAATGGTTGATACTGTATTTGTTGATAACATGCTGCCTTGATGAATCTGCCATGAAAAACCATTTTTTGAAAAATCTGTAAAATCTGAAAAATCAGTTTATGCATGAATGATTCAAATGATAAACTGGTTTAAATGTGTTGATGAATGTATATTGGTTGGTTAATATCCTGGTTGAACGCGTGTGCGTTTGATTTGATTTGGATTAGTGTTTATACACAAAACTGCAAAACGCAACTGTGGAATTGGGGATTCCAGGTTTCGCCCGCGGCGAAGCTTTAGCTTCGCCCGGCGATGAGACGCCTCTGGACGTTTCGCCGCGGCGGATAAAACCTTCGCCCGGCGAAATCTGTGGCGGCTAGACCTAATTTAAATCCTGGCCGCGGCGAAGATAAAACCTTCGCCGCGGCGAAGTATGCCAGAGCGAAATGCATACTGTAATCCTCGCCGCGGCGAAGATAAAACTTCGCCGCGGCGAAGGTATGTTTTCCCCATTCTGTATTTTTTTTCCTGAAGGGAACTAATCTGCAGTTTTAATAACCTATAAAGCCAATGTACATTCTGCACATTTAAGAGGGTAATAATTAATTAACCCACCCAATTCAAAAATTGATTGTTTTTGAAATGTATGCTTTGTACTTGTTTGTATATTGCATGGTCGCGGTACATGAGCTTAGACCTAAGGGTGAATGTTTTAAATTATTTGGGTATGATGCTGTAATATTTTAAATAGGGCCTGCGTGTCCTGCCTTCTCTCTTCTTCTTAATGTACATTCTTTTCTCATCTCATTCCCCTAATGTAATCGAGTTTCTAAATTTTGATGTAAAATTATTTAATATTAATTTTTATTGTAAATTTAGAATGATGTTTTTGTAATGTCCCTGGAGACGAGCAAGCAATTGGTATAAACTTCTTTGTTCTTCCCATTCATTCACATCAGTCATCATCAAACTAACCTCTGTGCTCACAGCAATTGGTATAACTTCTTTGTTCTTCCCATCCACTCCCACCCACTCACCAAAATATCAATACCCAAAACACTGTCCCATGTGTAATAATAGCCAACTACCATATGCAGGAAACAAAATCTTAAATGCTGTACTAAAGGTTCAAAATTTAAAAAGAATCTACACATGCTTATATGGTCGTTGTCGCTTAAGCGATCATGGTTATTTATACTGATCGCTTAAGCGATCAATTGTAGCGCTAGCGATCCAGTATAATAACCATGATCGCTTCAGCGATCTTATGCCATTACTGATTGCTTAAGCGATCTGCTCCTAAACACCAACTTTTACCAGATCGCTTAAGCGATCTATTCTGCTGCATACCCAATCTTTAAGCGATCTATCGCTGCATTACCAGACCACCAGATCGCTTAAGCGATATCCCAGATCGCTTAAGCTTCCATCATACCCAGAACACATTTTCAGTCATCTCCACCTACAATCGATTCATCATACCCAGAACAAATTTTTAACAATTTCACTCCTTTCACTTGCATTACATCAAACACAACCCAACAACCTAAACAACTAAATCAAATCATAACCCAAACCCCATCAATTATTAAATATTTGTAAATCTAAATATAAATGTAAAAAGGACATACACATACTTAGAGGAATGTCAAGATAGGAGAGGGGATCTTTGCGGAGAAGATGTTACTGGTGGAGGAAGAAAATGTTAATGGCGAGGAACAAGAATATAGAGGAATGAGAAGAAGGAGAGTAGAGAGAAAGGAGAAGAGAGAAGAATGCAGATGCGAAGTAGAGACAGAAGAAGATTCACAGGAAGAAAAGATTACGAAGCTAAGAAGAAGAGAAGAAGATGCAGAGGTAGAGATGCGTTAATGGCGGGAAGGCGTTTGCGTTTGTTTGCAACAATTTCGGGTTTGTAAGAATATAGTATAATTTTGAAAAGATTACATAATACTTCATTAATCCTAATTAAGCATAATACCCTTAATCAATAATATGGCTATTTAGTTAACACTTTAAAACTTGATAGCCTTTTAATTAAATGCAAACTTGAGATGTCCTTTGAGTAAATTGCCCCTTCCCAGAGAGATGTTGATCGCGAGGAAATATCAATGAGAAAATTTAGCTGCCTGGCCATCCCAAGTTTCGATTTAAGAAAATGGCCTTGAAACTGTTTTTAATTTTTTTTTAATTTAATGAATATGACGTGGCATAGTTAGGATAAATTAAACACGTAAAATGGGTTAAAATAAAAAGATTAAAACATGTGTGTGTCGAATCACAAATAATGAAAGTTTTTAAAATTTGAAAATTCTCAAAACAAGCCCCACCTATTCACCTCGCTTAATCGAAATTCATTAGGGCAAAAAGCGATTGCTTGAACCAAAGGGAGACGCGATTTTTTCTGATCGAACCTGCAAATTTGCACCCTAAAATCAATTTCTTGAACCCTAAACAGAATATAGTCGCGATTTTCAATCGATTTGTTGAACCCTAAACGGAATCTGTGCAATTTCTGACAATACAATCCACCTTTTCGATCGAAACTGCAAACTTTGACAGTAAATTCAATCTAAAACCATGGCTGACACTCACAATGAGGAGGAAAACCCAACGCCACTTCGAATCCTAGATTCCGGTGGTGCAAGCAGTTCAATGGCTGCTCCGGTGGATCATCTGATCAGTGAAGGTGGTCAACACGCAGAGGAGACGCTGACGGCACAAGAACAGAGGGAAGAATTGGCAAACGGTTCTGAAGACGAGGAGTCAGGCGAGAATTCAGGCCAAGAGGAGTCGTCCGAGGATTCAGGTGACGAGGAGGAGGCCAACGAAGAAAGGGTACGTTGTTTGAGAATATTGCTTGTACTGTCGCTTAAGCAATCATTTGTATCGCTTAAGCAATTAATCTGTTTTACTCATGATCGCTTAAGCGATCCTTTGTATCGCTTAAGCGATTGATTCAGTTTACTTTTGGTCGCTTAAGCGATTTCAGATCGCTTAAGTGATCTTGTCGAGGCAGAATCACATATATAATAAGCGATCTTTTGTATCGCTTAAGAGATTCTTTCAGTTTACTCTTGGTCGCTTAAGCGATTTTAGATCACTTAAGCGATTTCAGATCACTTAAGCGATCTTGCACGAGGCAGAGTCAAGATCTCTTAAGCGATCCGAAATTGCTTAAGAGACTACAATGGTAATTTTTTGTAGCTGATATTTTGTTTATTAGTTGTTTTGGTTTATTTTTGTTGCTGACATTTTGTTTATATCGATTGTGCAGATTGTGCGGATCATAAACTGTAGAGACTACGAGTTAGAGCCTATAAGTGAGAAGGTACCCTACTTCCCTGTAAGGGTGACGGTGAGGTCGAGTTGGGATGTTTTTGACAAAATAAGGGCCCTTTTAGCTTGAATGAGGAATGGTGAAAGAGATTTTTGTTGCACTTATTTCGGTCAGTTTTTAAGAATTGGAACAAATTGGAAAAATGCATTTTGGGGGCAAGGAGTGCATTACATGTTGCTGCACTCAGTAAAATGCAAAAAAAAAAAAAAAAAAAATGTGGTTCGTGGTGGACAGAAAGCCACTACGGTTTGGGATGATGGAGTATGCCTTGGTGACGGGCTTAGGATGCGAGGAAGTGCCAAATAAGGCGGAGGCGGACGTAGTAAGGATGAGGCCGGGAGCCATAAGGTTTCGTAAGAAGGTTTTACAGGGGGTAAAGTCTATTACATGACAAGTTTTAGAGGAGAGGCTAGAAACAGTTCGGTTTAATGATGGAGAGAAGATAAAAGTGTGCATGATATTGTTTTTACATTCTATCTTATTGGCTAGTGACTCAACAAAAACTGTTGAGAAAGATTGGTTGTTGTTTGCAAGCGACTTGGAGTTCTTTAATTCTTATCCGTGGGGACGGATATCATTTGACCAAACTATCAAAAGCTTGAAAAAACCAGACATGGTGTTAAAGCATGCCCAATGGGGGCGGGAAGGATAAACCAAGCACATATAATTTGTTTGGCTTCCCATGGGCAATATAGGTAAATATTAATAGCTCTCTGTTATATTTTTTATAATATATGTGTTTGAATTATGATATGGACTGGTTTTTTACAATGTAGACTTGGATGTACGAGGTCATCCTTGTCTTCGCTAAGGTGGAGGGGAGGAGCAACAGTTTGGATGTGCAACAGCAATTTCCTAGGATGTTGCAGTGGCATGTCGGGAGGTGTAACCATTCGGATTACGACCAAATAGAGATTGAGATTCAAGTGGCTGGGATAAGATTAAAGGATTAAGCTTTTGAATATGCAGTTGCTTTAAAATGTCACTTCAATCTGATTGTTTTTGTTTCTTATTGCAGGGAGTCGTCCGTCCCTTTCTCACCGCTACTAGGGATAAAGTGGAAGAGGACTATGTCACATTTTTCAAAGCAATGGAGGATGAAAGGGATGAACGGATAGACCGCCTAATTTGGGACCTAAGAGGATGAACGGATAGACTGCCTGATGTGGGACCTAAGAGGGGTCACGCATGTGACGGCAGTTGCAGGGCCATTGCTTGACAACGTCGTTGATGCCGAGGATTATGAAGCTCCAATGGGCGGGAGGCCCGAGGATGAGGAGGAAAAGAGGGAGGAAGAGGTTTGTATGCCTCAGCAAACTGGTACAACAAGTACCGCTTTGCCGAGACATCAGTGTCGGGAGAATGAGGTTGTTGGCCTCATAAATGGCCTGTTTGAGAGTTTTACAACATCCGTTTATACAAGGTTTGACAAGATGGAAGAGTCCATGAAAAGGGTTGTAACGCCCCACTTGAGGTACGTAGATAAATGTTTATTGTTTTGCTCTTAATTGAGTTTGTATGTTGTTAATATTGTTTGTTTGGCCCTTAGTTGAATGTGCGTTTTGGTTTGGTTGAGTGGTTGCCCTGAATGTGGTGAAGTCTTGCAGAATTTTGGAAGTGTAGACTTCGCCGCAGCGAAGAAGGAGTTTTGTCGCGGCGACGTAGCCCCTGTATTTCTTCGTCAGGGCAAAGAAAGAAACTTCGCCGCGGCAAAGAGCCGGATGAAAAGTTGGGTGAAGTTTCCACAGAATTTTCCATAGGGGCAAAGTGACCATTCTACCCCTAATTAGTAGGAAAAGTGGGGAGTGAAATGCAAGAAAATTTCATGGAGAATGTGTTAGAATTGGGGGTGTGAGTGCAATGAATTAAAGGACAAAGATAAAATTTCTAAGAAAGAGCAAGGGCAAAATGGGAAAGGATGGTTATAATATGAGCTAAAAAGGGGTTAAGTTTAGCTCATTCTTCTTCTTCCACCACCATTCCCTTTCACCATTTTCTCTCAACTCTTCATTCAATTTTTCAAGGATTTTAGAGGGCTTTTTGAGTAATTTTGGTCGAGAGTTAATCAAAGCATCCTAAGGTAAAGATTCTTGCTTTAGATGTGAATTTTACTTATAGATATGTTGAAGTCTTATAGTATTGTTGTTTAAAGTTGTAGAGAAAAGACAAGCTACCAAAGGAAAAGAGAAGTGCTAGTGGAGTCACTTACTTACAAGGTAAGTAAATCCAACCCAAGTTAAGTTTTAAGAACTCCTTTGAGTAAAGATTTCTTTATGTATGTATGTATTATGCTTGTTGAGAGGTTGAGATGTTATGAGTATCTATATATGTTGATATTGAATATAATTGAGTTATGAGAAGTGTTTTGATTGCATGATGATGAGTTGAGTTTGATTGAAGTTGGGGGGAGTTTTGAGCAAACCCTATGGGAGTGTTTTTCCTTGACAGGAACTTAAAGTGTATGAGGGATTTTTTCCCATTTTGGATGATTAAAGAGAGGAGAAGAGCTATAGTTAAAGTAGAGTTTTTGTATGCACATGAGTTGTTTGATGAAATGCTTAAAAGAGGCATGAGTAAGAGTAGAGAACCGTAATTATTGCTACATGTCATACTTGCATTTCATGAGTGCATTAATGAGCATGAGTCATTCATAGGCATTAATTGTGCATTGGAGAAGTAGCTTGAGAAAGATTAGAGAATTTTGAGAAGTAACTACTCTAAGAGTAAAGAGAAAGAGAGACTCTAAGAGTAAAGAGAAAGAGAGACTCTAAGAGTAAAGAGAAAGAGAGAATGAGCACTAGAGAATAAAGAGAGAGTAGTGCTAAAGAAGAGAATAGAGTAGGTTGTGCGACGGGGAACTCGTGAGTAATGGGTAGAGTATTCCCGCATGTATGCCGCAGAGAAAGAGCGGCCTGAGTATGAGAGAGAAAAGTGGTGTGGCCTATGAGAGTGCATGCGGATGAGGGCTATACTTGAGAGTACCCGAGAGAGAGAGAATATACATTCACATGGCCAAGGGTTCCAAATCCATGCATAACCGAGTCTGATCGGCTGAGAATGAATAGAAGTCACAGAGAGCGGGAGTGAGTCCCGGCTATGCCTCCGGTAAGATGGGGCTGTGATATACAAGAGAGAGTTAGTAGAAAAGAGTTATAAGAAAGAGAAATAGAAAGAGAAAATAGAGAGAATTGTAAAAGAGAGAGTAAATGAGAATAGAGCAATTGTAAGGAAAGAATTGAAGAGAGAGAGTTATGGGTATAGAGGAGTAGAGGTTTTACTTACTGAGCATTATTAGTGCTCACCCCGTTGTTTTTTCGATGTTTTTGTAGGATCTAGGTGAGGTCGTGGTCGGATGGACGTTGGCAAGCGAGGAGGAATAACTACACTGTCCACCATGTTTTTGATGATTTTTGTATATGATACTAACTTTGTATAAAGAATGTATATTTAATAAAAGAAAATTTTGGGCCCAACTATTTATGTTATCATACTTGTATTTTTATTATGTATAGTTTATGAGTATATGAGTAGAAAGCAGCTATTACAAAGGTGGAGGAGAAAGTGGATAAGTTGGGAGAGAAAGTTGGTACAATGGAGGAGGAAGTTGGTGGAGAATTAAAGGTAGCTGAAGTGCAAACTAGCTTGAAAAGAGAGAGCCGAAAGAGTAAGTTTGTGAAATCACCTTACATGGTAGTGACACAGGTAAAGAAGAAGAAAATTAAGAAACAAATGGAGGAAGAACCAGAAATGGAGGAGGTTGAGGAGGTTGGTGGAGGAAGTGGGGCGGTGATAATGGAGGAGGGCGAGGTGGGAGGCGAATGAAGCGGGGATGTAAAAATGGAGGAACGGGGAGGAAGTGGGCAAGCGAAATTGGACTCAAATGTCGATTTTTATAGGCCAATAGAGGAAAAGAAAAAACTCTTCTATGCCTATTAGAATGGACCAAGAAGTAATGGCCATATAAAGTGTAAGACAGGGGATTATCCCCGGGAATGTTTTGAGAAGTTGTTGACGATAGGCACGTGGCTTTAGGACTCGGTGAGTTATTTTCGCTTAATTTTCCTTAGTTTTGCCTATGTTTTCCATACTTATCTTGTTGTTTTTATTTGATGCAGCACATCGATGAGATATTGGCACTGATGAGGCTACGACAAACTACTGATGGTGATCTGTTGTATCCCGACTGTGCCATCACCGATGTGGCATTTGGCCAAACGCTTGTTTCGGCATATCGTACTTTAATTAAAAATGTCGTTGCTAGTGGTGCAGCAAAATGACCAAAGCGAAAAAGATTGGCCCCAGTATAATTGGACTGCATCCCTGATGATTTTCATTTTTATGACAGAATTATGCAATATATACGGGGGGATCGGCCCAAATATGGCCACGGTTAGGCCTTTGTTAAAAGAGTATTGCGCATCTAGAGGAGGGGCTGCTGAAGATCCTTGACTGCAACCCCACTATTTGTCGAGACAAGCAGTTGCAGGTGGAGTTGGAGCCACTGTCCAGGTTGTTCCCGTGGCTGTTACATGACAGCAAGATGTTTGGGCACTTGGGTGATCAAGTACTAACCGAAAAGTGGCCAATTAAGTGCTCTACCGGCCCAATAAATGAGTCAAGGTAAATTTTTTATAAAACTAACTTACATAATACAATTGTTCTATAAGTTTATTCTAATGCTAATGTATTCTTCCTATTGTAGTGCTGAATGTGGGGCATATGCCCTGAAATTTATTGAGTTCGACATGACCAACACCCCGATGGACGAGTTGAATGACGAAACAGTGAGAGACTGTCGGGAGGGCTGGGCTATCGACTGCTTCCATGGGCAGATGGATCCATTTTGAGTGAGCGGAACCCAATAAAAAGGTATGAAAGTTGGACTTTGAATTTTGTAGTTTATGTGATGTTGATACTTGGGTTGTGGTGCTGATGCTGTAGGTGTCATGCTTATATGGAGCTTTACCGAAAGACACGGACTGAGTGAATTTCTCACCTACCTACTCTGTAACTTTTTTACGTATTTTTTTTATTTACAAAAGTTGACGTGTCTGCAGGTGTGTGCTGGATAATTTTGTAGGTTCCTGACAAACAATGAGAGGAAACCTCTCAAATGCTGGTTGGCAAGATGAGG